AATATTAAAATAATGAATGCAACGATATAAAAAATTAAATAGTAAAAATATAATTAATATCAATAATATTTAAAATAAAATAATTTATAATTTTTTGTAATAATAAAGCATTATAAATTATATTGTAGTATGTTTTCTTTTAATTTTGATTATGGAGCCAATGCTAGAGTTTTCTTTAAATATTCACTTAGTTTTGTAATAATAAAGCTCATATTATTGTTGAATTTGCTTTGTAGATAAGTAATGAATGCGATGGGTGATTTAGTATTTCAAGTGATTCCGATTAGAAGAGTAGCGCGTTAATCCGAGAATGATATATAAAATAATAATGATAATAAAATAAATATCATTATAAAATTAAAGGAAATGAATGGATAAGAGATAGAACGAGTTTACTTTTATCTTAAAATTGTTAAAAGAAGTAATAATCTAAAACAAAATCAAACCTGACAAAATCAACCAAAAAAGTTAAACTTCTTAGAAGATAAGATAAAATAAACGAAAATAAATACTCCTTTTATTTTGATCTATCGATTGGAATCAGTTGAGGTCTGTCACTACACAGTTTCCTTAAGACAGATTTTCGGTCACTCCATTGGTGTTCGATTTCGTTGGTAGTCTGTCTCCCATGATACAACAACTAATGATAACCTACAGTAGCACATCTGCACAGATCACGAACGATCATTGCCTTCAACTATCACCAAAAAACTAGTGGAAGAGAATTTTTTTAAGATAATAGTTATTCAAAAACTGAGTTGTTTTGATACGTAAAAAAACTAACATGTTTACTCACTATTTATAGGGGGATTTTCAGGAGAGATTTAATTCAACCAAATATATTTTAATATTCAACATTAAGAATATAATAATATCTTTTAATTTGAAATATTCAAAAGATAAAACTCATTTTACCATTTAAACTTAAATAGATATTATTTTAATTTAAAATATACAAAAGTATATAATTATCTTTAATATTCAAAGTTAAAAAAGGTAATAAATACCTTTTTAATTGACATATTCAAAGAGTAATTATCCTACTAATATTCAAATTAAATAATATATTTAATTTACAATGGTCAAAATAAACTCTTTTTACTATTCAAACTTTAACATATATTATTTTAATTTGAAATATAAAAAAGTATATAATTTTTTTAATATTCAAAATTAAAAAGATAACAAATACTTTTTTAAATTGACTTGTTAAAAGAGTAATTATCCTACTAATATTCAAATTAAAAATTATCTTTTAATTTGTAATAGTCAAAATGACTATAAATTTAATATAAATATTAAATCTATCAATTAAATTCACTTTTTTCATAAGAATTCCTTGTCAAGCTTTACTGTTTGACAATGTAATAAAAAATTGTTTTTAAATTATGTCAGTATGGGTTATTATCAGGATTTTGGTAATTACATGATTACTTTGAAATTTCTAGTATGTTCCTATTGTTTTTAATTGGTTTAATGACGTTAGACATTTAGTAAAACATGGTATTGATGTATGCATGTTGGTAGTTAAATAGTGTAGCTTTGTGTCAAAAAAAGATCATACAATAAATTGTTGTTTAAATTTTGTATTTGTAATGTTTTCGCATGTTTAAAATGATTATTATGTGTTTAATAAGTAAATATGTTGGTGGTAAATGCCTTGGAATGCAATGTCGGTATGTAAGTTGTGTGATATGCATTATATTTTGAATGTTTAACAAGTAGGCGTATGAACCAAGTAATTTTAATGATTAAGAGGATAATTATTATTTCTAAAAGTTTCATGTTTAATGTAACATCTTAATTCGATCTAATTCGAGATCGATGGAATAAAGTATTACACGGGACCATCGAAAGGACTAACTCAAAATTTTCCACTTTAAAATGACATTTAAAAACATCATTCAATATATATATTAAATTAAAACATAATGATGAAAACATAAATATTTAGGTTTGTAAATGTGGGTAGCTTCCGAGACATCCTAAAATAATACATATCAAGTATTTCAAAATAGAGTTACGACTCGAATACATGAAGGTCTATAATAGTACATGCCCTCTAAATAAATTCAAGACATACTCTGCGGCTCTGAACAGTCTGAAATGCAAGTTGTGCGATAAGCTCCTCAAGACCCTCTTAAGAACATACGGATGAAAACAAATTCCTAACGTGGAGCTCACAAACTCAGTGCCACACTAATAACTATATTATACTACATGCGTTCATCATATGGTCATGCTAGCAAATAAAGACATAAGCATAAAAGTATGCTAAACACATATGACGATGTAGGCATCATGGTGTGGTCGCAGGATTTACTGCATCTCGGGACACACACCCCTTTATTCTACCTAGGGTGAGATCTGAAATTTCTACACCGAAAATGTACACCTGACCGATCTACTCCTCCTGAGTACATAAGATATATACACTCAGCCAACAATTGAAGTATATTGGCACTAGTTGAGATATATTCAAATATTCTAATCACACAAGATGATCATCATACTGCTAAAGTAACTTGGATGTCCTTACTGTCTCCCGAGCATCACACAATGGCTAGTTTTATGACATTCTTAATTCATATCATTCTTAGTTATTATTTTATTCCTTAATTGTTCTCACTTGTAAGTTCATTTAAGAAGTTTTGGTGCTTCTATACCCCTTCCCAAACCCTTGGATCAAAGCTGGATTTTTCCCCAAATCAGGACGATGGTTAAAATACTAAGTCCTTTAGTATCAATATTGACCCTTCAATATCAATAACAACCCTTAGCACCAATACCAATATTGCTCACCAGAATTAGAAAACACCTTGTAGTGTTGATACCCCTATTTGGTGTACCAATACCCTTATATTGTGGTACCAATACCACCCTGGGTATCAATACTAAAATGGGATTCAATGTTTAGAAAAATATATTCAATATTGATACCCTTTTATAGAGCATCTATTTCGTATAGTATCGAAATCCCTTTAGTATCGAAACCAAAACTGGCTATTGAAAATGGTAACTTAGTGATGGTATCAATATCCTTGAGTATCGATACCTAACAAATAGTATCGATCTATCAGTCAAAACCCCTATTTTTGGCTATCTAGTACCGATATCCAAGCCTAAAAATGTTATGTTTTAGCTCGAAAACCATACCCAACACTCATTTATAACTCTAAGGCTCTCAAATGTTATTTAAATCTTATGTAAGATTAAAGGGTTTTCATTAGTCATTTTTCATGTTATAAAACTTCATAAACCATAATCTACCATGAAATACACTTACATGCTTAATAAACTCAAACAAGATGCCAAGCACATCTACTGACACACAAGTGGTATAGAAGAGTGAGAAATGTGTTACCTTGAATCCTAAGCTACTAGAATGACACAAGTCTCAACCAAGAACTAGTTTTTCCTTGCCTTTACCTTTAGAGCTCTCACCAATTTCTTTCACTAATCACAGACAAGGAAAATGAGTTACTAACTCATTTAAGAGCTTAGAATGGAGTTAAGAACACTTCCTAAACCTTAAATCTATCAAAAACGAGTTAAAATCACATGAGTTTTTAGCCCCCTAAACCTCCAACTTATGGCTACCATGTCCAAACCTTGTTTTTAAGAGCTTGAAAGGAAGCTTGGGTAAGATATTACAACTCTTACCTTAATATTTTCGAGATAGACTTGCAAGGTTACAAAGTTGCTACCTTTTCTTGAGATAATGGGAAACAAAAGGAAGTTTTGAATGAGAGGAAAAACAACAAAATAATGAGGAAAATGAGATATCAAAACTCAGTTTTCCCCTCTTATTTCTAGCGTGTGACCTCATCAACCATTAAGGAAATCCGGCCTTTGAATGAATAATAGGATAATTACTCCTTTGGTCCCTCAAGCTTTGGTCATAACTCAAAAATACATTTTTATTCACTAATTGAGCTCAATCCAACTCAACCTTAGGCTAAGATTTCCTACAATACTGATGGGTTTATCCAAAATCCTCTCCGGTTAACCCAAACTACTAACCCGAGATTTTGAGCTTTATATTTAAGCAAATAGTTTGTAGGAATTTGAACGTTTATTATCAAATGTTTTGAAGTATTTCGTAAAGGTCTCAGACTAATAAAAAAAACAAGTAGATAAGGTCAAGTTATGCAAATAATATGTTATGGTCCATTTAGTTGGTGATTTGGTATGTTTACAACTTATATGATATGTTGGAGTTCGTGAAGGACTTCGAATTTTTTTTAAGATGTGCATACACATTAATAATATAAAAGTTTTGTATGAGATATGCACAAATAAAATTTAAGGTTAAATACAATTAATAAAATAATTAACTAATCGAAGAATATTTAAATTTCAGGGTGGATACATGTCAACTTTGGATCCGCTCTTGGTTGGAGTTATGTTCGTTGCACGTTAGTTTCATTATAGGTTGATTTTGTGTTGATTTTAGACTTAATAATGTCAAAAGGTTGTAAATCTGATGACAAGTATCAATTTTAAATGGTTCAATATCGATACTATGTAAACATATTGTTAATATTAGATATTGATTCTAAGTAGAATATTGATATTATTTTAGGACACTAAAATGTTCCAATGATATCTTAAATAAAAATATAAATACCCAAAGCCACTATTTGATGTTTTAACTTATTTTATATTGGAATATATTCTGGAATATATGACTGAATTCTAGAATATGCAGTAACGTGTGTATGTGCTGCTAATGTGAGTGTTGTGTGTGTGAGTGAGTTGTTATAGCTGTTAAGAAATATTGGATTCTGTTATGAGTTTGTTATAGAGGTTGAGTACACTTGAAGTTACAGCTTCTATATAAGTTGGTTGTAACGTAGTTAACAATGAGCTTAATGAATGTTATCAGAGGTTATTCATTGAATTCTATCTTCTCAACATGGTATCTTTCGCCAAAGTCCTGGAAATTTTGGTTTCACGCTTCTAAACTTTCTTTCTCTCGGTTACTTCACGAAAAGAAAATGACGAAGTGTTACTCAACTGTGACCGATGAATGCCAGAAGGCAGTTGAAAAGGCTAAGAGGAAGCTCAGAGGTCTAATCGTTGAGAAGAACTGTGCTCCGCTCATGCTCCGTCTAGCGTGGCACTCAGCTAGGACTTTCGATGTTAAGATCAAGACCGGAGGTCCATTCGGAACCATGAAGCAGCCTGCTGAGCTTGCACACGGTGCTAACAACAACCTTGATATCGCCGTCAGACTTCTCGAGCCGATTAAAGAGCAGTTCCCCATCCTTTTCTACGCTGACTTCTATCAGCTTGCTGGTGTTACCAAACTCTCCAGTCAGATGCCTCTTCAAGAATGTGGTCTTTCCAATGCCTCCATCGCCAACGATGATGAGCTTGAAGCTCGGATAATCAACAGTATCTTGGTTAGGTAAAGCCATTGATTACGAAACTCGAAAGGCGGTATGAGAAAAATAATAAATTTCTGCGTTTGTTTGGCATCGTTGTTATAGAATAGGTTTTTTTTGGAATTTTTTGTTGAATGTTCATTCACATCAAAAGTTTGCATGGATTCAAGTCGAACGGATGGAAGCATCGACACTTCCGATTCAAGTCGAACGGAAGGAAGCATTCGCACTTCCGATTCAACTAGAACGGATGGTTTACGAAATCATTGTACAAATCTTCGTTTGAGCAATTTCGACCCAAAGTGCAGGTTTTGTCATTTGATCAATGAGAAGGAAAAAAGTAGGGAGAATATTGGAATATATTCTGGAATATATGACTGAATTCTAGAATATGCAGTAAAGTGTGTATGTGCTGCTGATGTGAGTGTTGTGTGTGTGAGTGAGTTGTTATAGCTGTTAAGAAATATTGGATTCTATTATAAATTTGTAATAGAGGTTGAGTACACTTGAAGTTACAGCTTCTATATAAGTTGGTTGTAACGTAGTTAACAATTAGCTTAATGAATGTTATCAGAGGTTATTCATTGAATTCTATCTTCTCAACATTTTAACATATTATTACATGTCCAATTGTATGTGACTCAGATTTGGATATCAGGACTATAAATGGGCTCATTTTGGTGAAAATTTACATGATTAAGTATGATTTATTATGCATTAGCTTAAATTTAAATGATTTAATTTAACACATTGCATAAGTCGCATAAAAAATCTCATCTTAAAAGATAATATCAAGGCCCATCTGTCACAAGTATTAAGTCCACAAACTCGTGACGAAGAGGGCCAACGGACCAATCCTTTAATGAACAATCCAGCGTCTACTCTAAACCCCAAGTTTGTTCTTCCGAAATTAAGCATCTTCAAGCCGACTAGGCAGAAACAGGGACTACAGTGCTAGTTGAAATTACACGAATAAGCATCCAAAATCAGGACACTGCCGATTTATTTTACATGCAATTGTGAAAACATGTAAACGAAAACTCTCCACTTTTTTAGTGTTTGAAAACGAAAGAAAGTAACTGCAGTGCCTGTAATGTCCCATTTTTCCTCCATGATTACTAACAATTCTATTATTTCTTTGCCACGCTCCTTGCTCCGTTCAGCTGGTTAAATTTTAAACATTTTGACCACCCACTTTTTAACATCTGTTCTTTGTGTCACCACTTTGAGAAATCTGCTGGTTCCCTGGCAACTTAACCACCAGTACTGGGCCCAACATCAGGCACTACCGTTGCTGCTTTGCGGTTTTTCGGCCTAATACCCGGTAAAAAAATTAGGGTATTGGGCCTACCCAAGTTTTATTTAGCAAACTACAGCATTTGCTACAATCCGCTTGGAACTCATTACTTCGAGGTGAGGAGTTCCGTTGGATATTATTTTTAATGGTCCTCGCATAGTAGATCCCACACGAACCATTATTTAATTTTATAAAATTAAAAAAAAAACCGATGGAACTCATCACGCCGACTTGATGAGTTTCTTCGAATTCAAAAAAATAGTTGTTAGCTAGCCGTTGTTCAACTGGCAGGGGTAGCAACAGTCAGTAGAACTCGTCACCTCGATGTGACGAGTTTGACCGAGTATTTTGAAAAATCGGTCGTTTATAGTCGCGGGGGTGAGCCCATAAATAGGGATTTGAGGTTTTGGTATTTCACCAAACCATGAATCCAAAAAAAATGAAAAAACATATGTTGTACGAAAATCCCAAAAAATGACAACCCGAGAATATATGTTAAGCCTAGATAATATCCATATTATGTCGATCCAACGCGGGTCGGGCGACGAATGTGGTATTCATAGTCGGGGGATGACAATCAGATAGATGCTTCAACGGATGATGACATATCTGCATCAATCTGGTATATTCCCGACAATATTTTTACGTTGCTTCAAGGTGTACCCGACGTTGATCGAGGCTCTGATCGAACATTGGTGCCCTAGACGAACACGTTCCATTTCCCGAGTGGTAAAGCGACAATTACTCTGGAAGATGCCGCTTATCAACTCGGTGTTCCAGTGAATGGAGCCCCCGTCATGAGTCATAACACGTATGACCCCTCGGCGTTGATCTTCCAAGTGTTGGGAAGATGGTCGCCATCCGAGTTCATGAGGGGCTATTGAGTAATGATAACATGGCTGGAGTCCAAATTTCAAGTTACGGAAGAATCTACCGATGCGGAGGTTGTTTTTGCGTCTCGAGCATTTCTTCTCAAATTGATCGGAGAGATATTATTATCAGATAAATCTGGTAATTTGGCGTACACACAATATCTATGATATTTGGAAGAGTTCGTTGTGTGTCGTAATACCAGTTGGGGCTCGACGATTTTGGCCTTTCTTTACTGGGAGCTTTGCAAGGCTTCAACTGCCAACGGGGTAGAAAGGTCGATGTAACAGACTACCTGATACTGCTACAGTCTTGGGCATACTTTTGCTTGCCTTTTTTATGCCGATTACAGATTCCCCAATCGAGTTTCCGCTGGTGGCAAGGTACTTTTTTTATTTATTTAATATTTTTTAATCTTAAATATTTATTTTTATTTATTTATAATATTTTTTTACTTTTAAATATTTTAGATGACATCATAAAATCACCGAGACGAAGTTGGCGGGTACCGATGCACGAGACGTACGGATGAAGATCGACATCGCAGGTCAACACACGGTATGACATAGAAAATTATTAATATTATTATTTTAAATCTTTTTAACTTTATGTATACTAACTTTGATATTTAATATTTACAGTTCTATTGGCTTTCGTATGTCGACGAGGAGGTCAATCGTGTGTTATTAGAGGGATTTTTTGAGGGGTGCCACTTATGGTGTTCTGTGTCGCCGTTATTACACCAATCGATTGTTGAGTGGCATGCTATTGATAGGGTGATGCACCAGTTTGCGTCGCACCGACCTATTCCTACGCCCCTCAAAGTTTATATGGGTGTGCTCTATGCAATCGATACTCGTAGGAAACATGATGAAAATTAACTGATGCGACATGCTTACTACACGAACTACGTAATCAGCGTGAACTATCGTTTCCCCAGCGTCATGACATTACATCACTGGACATAGATTTTGATTATTTTTCCTTATCTTCGGCTTTACGAACAAAATAGCAAACCATATCTCACGAGATCGGAAGAGAGGGCAGAATGGCAACATCATAAAGCCACGCACACCAAGTCCAAGTCCAAGTCTAAGAAGAAAGCATCGTCGTCTTTTGTTTCCGCTTCAGCATCTGCCGTTGAAGAGTATTATCATGCATCCCATGCCACTTTCGGTTTTTATCCTTCATTTCAAGCTTCAGACGAGACTCAATCGAATTGAGTTGGAGGTTCATGGGATGCACCACGAATCTTCAACAGAACATAAAGTTGCGAGTGAGTGGGACCATATCCTATATGGTCACCAAAGCTAAGTCGAAGCAATTACAGCGATGATGACGTCAAATGTCATAAATCCATCACCGTATTTCGAATTTGGATCGCAAAGTGTGTTGGGTACACCTCTTCCGCAAGACGACGACGATGATAATGATGATGATCAAGGACTACGATACCGTCGTACTTGACGAGCCCCGCGGTATTATCATTTGACAACTCTGCTGCATCGTCAAGAACTTAAAAGACAGAGATAAATTATTTTTTACTTTGTAATTTTAATTTAAAAATTTATATTTTACATTTATTTATTTACTTTGTATTTCGTAAAATTTAAATAAATTGATTTTTCTTTTTAATTTTATTTTTTTAAATTATGCCAAGTCGAACTCGTCACCTCGAGGTGACGAGTTCCACTGAACGTTGTTGCCCTTGCCCGTTAAACAATGGCTAGCCAACGACTGTTTTTTTTTAATTCGAAAGAACTCGTTACGTCGACATAATGAGTTCATCGGATTTTTATTTTTATTTTTTAAAATTTAAAAAAAATAAATATTTTTTAAAAGACTATTCACCTCGAGGTGACCAGTCTTTATAAACCTAATTAAATAATAGCCCATGTGAGGCCTATTATGCGATGACCATTAAAAAATAACATCTAACCCTGCTTTACCGCTGCTACCAAATAACATCTTACATCTGCATAAAAGTTCAGCACCATTTTTAGACTAATTTATTTAGAAAAATATCGATATTGTATGAACAGATACCGATACAAATATTTTATGAAAAAGTTTGAACAAAATAAATGGTGAACTAATGGTATATAGTACCCCCCAAATTGTTTTAGAAATGGAAATGTTGTTTGCCATGGAGTGTCATGGCGAATCTTTTGTTGCTGCACACAGCAGCAGCGGAAGAACCTTTTCAGTGATTACCAGTATTCCTTTTTCCATGTGAAGATTTTTGGGTCTATCCCACATGTTGGGGCCAGCACTAATCATGATCCAAGATTTACAAAGATAACCAAATTACTTGCAAAGTAACCATTTTTTTTCAAATTTTCATCGCTCTAATCATGAGTTTTTAGCTTGTTTTCGTTGCCTACTGATTCATAATATCAAACCATTTTACTGAAAATATAGCATTGTGAAGAATTCTGCTACTGAAGCAACTTCAATTATTGGTTTTTATCCATCTGGATGCAAGCAGATTATCAGAAGAAATGGCCCCGATACATACACACAGCAGTCAAGTTTTTTTTTTTTTTTTTTGCATAAAAGAAACAAGAAATTGTCAAACTGTAAACACTGATCTTCTGGTGTCAAAGAACTGTTCCCGAGTTAACGAGCCCACTGAGTCGAACCATGCTGGCAGCTGGGTTCAGTAGCATGGTGTTAAGAACTGTTCCAACATTAATTTGCCGGTGCCTGCTGGTCTCTTATCATATATATATATATATATGTGTGTGTTTATGCCATTGCCTGTCGGTCATGAAAAAGGGGCTCTGAATCAGATGTTCTCAGACCTACTATTTTCATTTTGGATTTCAAGTCATCCCATAGACCCTCAAATCTACCATTACTGTCTGATACTTTCTTCAGGCTTACGTCAATGTCAAATAGTAGTATACTATTTCGTAAGCAATGATTCGAATTTCAATTTTGTCTTTCTGGATTCAAGGATTTTCACGTCAAACCATAATTTTATTACATAAAATCCATATAGAAGTTAATTAAAGATAACATGCCCGCAAATAAAAAAGACATCAAATTTAAGGCTGAAGATGTTAGAGAAACCTTTACACTGAAAACTCTGTAAAAAATAAATAAAAATAACCGTACAGTGTCCCATGTGAGTAGGGGCACACTCACACACAACAAAAGTCTTCTTCCTGCTGCCATTGATGTACCACTCACAATTAATGCCGGACTCAGTTGACAAACTCAGCAGCTTTAGTAATTCACCCACAAATGTTCAGAGAGAAAACAAGAGGTTGAAGCAAACAAATAAATGAGGGGGAGGGGGTGGAATCAACAAATTGGGTTGAAAGATAATTTGAAGTCCATTTCTGGGACATAATGATTGAAAACGATATTGAAACATGTCTGGTTCTTTGTATTAGAAATTTAACCTTGCCTGTTCAATCGTCCTTGCAACACTGAATGGGAGCAGATTCAGCGAAGAAAATTTTAATTTCTTTTTGGGTTTTTGAAATGAAATCTTGTTGCTGGATGCACTGAATAGCAAACTTGAATACAAATTGCACGTGAGTTACTCGTGGATATAGTTAAAAACAAAAACATGGGAACCGATAAGTTATAGAATGACAAATGACTTGCATTTATTACCAGAGATCATCCAGACCAAATGAAAGAAAACTACGTGGGATGAAGAAAAAAAAAGGGGAAATGAAAAACCAGAAACATTGATCATTAATGTACTCCTAAACCAGTTACAATGATGAGAAGAAGAAAAAAACAGCAAATTCCTAGCAGTCTAATCTTTGTTTTGAACAAGTGATTTGAGGTTTGTAATCTGGGGTTAGTGTGATTCATCAGCTCTGTTATGTTACAGATCTTTAAATTACACATCTTTGTCAAGGCTCAATCAATCTTTACATCAACTTGGAATCAATCGTGGACTTGGCTCATGGGATCATTTTCACCCACTCGTAACGTCCCGGAAGAGGCAAATCATTCACAATATCGAAGTTATACCTGTAGGAATCCGATTCGTAAGACTCCAGTCGGCTACAAACATTAGACGATTAAAACAAACTCCAAAAACGAACTTACTTCTCCATGAATTGCCGCTGCTGTTGCTGTTCTGCAAAGGCAAAAAAACCCTCCATTTCCTGTGCTGCCACGATGGATCTCTGCACGTCGTTCCCCGGCCCTCTTCGGTGAGTCAAAGGGGAGGTTCTCGGCTTTGTGGTCGAAACTGGAGCTGCAATGGTCTCGAAATCCTTTATCAAACCACATGACGAGCTTTCTCTAGTGTTCCTACATAAAAAAAAGGGACAAATCATCTCGGCAGAAACAAATTACCACTTAATTATACACCAAAACAAAATTAATATTCTCATTAAAATGAACAAAGCCCTCATATATTGAAGAGACAAGGGCAGGGAGGAGACTAAAACAATTGGCCAAGTAGCAACGAATTTGCCACCTTTTGTCGCTTATTGCAGCTACACAGAGAATCCCACATTCATGTCTGTAAACAGGCCCCGTGAATTGATATATCATTGCTAACACCTAAGCTATATCCCATCTTTTTAAAGTCCTTTGAATACAGATACGATCCTAAGAACTAACATAAACTACCAAAAAACAAGACAGATTTCTGTTCAATATTGCCAAAAGATTTTTATTTTTTCTTGCAATTCATTATTAGCAGAGAAAACACAAGCAAGCAAAGGGTTGCAATCCGGAAGATCAAACAAAATGGTTTTTTCTTCTTCTCTTTGTACCATGTATTGTCAATCACCCATATAGAAAACTAAACTTTGCACCAATGTTCATAATCAAAAGCAAACCCAGAGAACGAACAAGTTTTTGTCAAGTATTTTTCGTATTGAAGGTATCCTATTCTTAAAAGGTAAGCAAAATAGTAGAACGTGCAACAAAGAGAACCATACTCGTCATTTAAAACGTCAAACATAAGAAACAAATGAAAGAAAACTCGTGTAAGCTAAAAGATGAGGGATTTTTTTTCAAAAGAACACAAGACAAAACAATGCTGGAAAAGTTCCCAAGTGTTAAAGCCAAAATATAGGAAACAGAAAAGGACTTTTTTTTTTAAGAAAACATCAAAAGAAGAAGAAAACCATACCTGTCTCTGAGTTCTCCACCAAAACAAGCCTCCTCTGTTGTTCCACGGCAAATCCCCACCCCGACAACAATCTCCCTGTTCCCAAAACACCCTTCACTATTCTTCCCGCCATTCTTCTTCTCCCCTTCTCGGAAACTGCTCTCCTTCCCCTCTTGTCTCTGTTTCATCTTGTTCGAAACAGGGGAAGCCAGCTTCTCAAGCCTACGATTCCTCAGCTGAAGATAAGAAAACGAAGACACGTCCGGGTTTAAACCGACACCGGTTGCCGGCGAACCGGAAGGTGTTGTTTTCGAAAGCCTTTGCAAAGCAAGAGTCTTGGCAGCTCTGGTACGGGACCCCATTGTCGACTGATGAGAAACTCCCATCACTGCTATGTCACCTGATATCTTAGATTTCTTCATGGAACTTTTCCCCCCACAATATTCTTTTTTCTTTTGAGAAATATGGAGTTTTAATGTTGTCACCAAGGGCTGTGTATAATCAAAACGTTGGAATATAAGAAAAGGAAAAAAAAAAAGGAGGGGGCTTTCTCAAAAAACAGAGGGTGAGAAATGGAGGGTGAAGTTTTTTTTTTCTTTTTTTTTCTTTTTTTCTTTTTTTTCTTTTGTTTTGGTTATTCTTACGGTGAAAAGAAGGGAATAAGAGGGTGTTTTATCAACAAAAAAAAAAATTAACTATTAAGCATTTTTATTAAATATTATTAATTTAGCACATTTTCTAGTGTGATAATAAAAAGCGGATCATGAATCGCGTCTTCGCAAGGTTCAATTTAAATTGATGTCACATTATCTAACACGTACAAGAAAGCGCGCCTATTCACCTTGAATTATTGTACATTTCATTATTACACTAGCTTTAAATCTCGACTATTCACCCGTTCCCCTTCCCTATTAATACTCCCGAATGCAAACATCAAATCACACTAAAATTACTTTCACATTCTTACTTCTATCAAACTAGATAGATTTTGTTATAGTTTTTATAAGGTAAAATTATCTTTTATTATATTATATTTATTTTGTATTTAATTATTTGATAAAATTTTATTATACTAATTATTTTTCATTACTTTTTGCAGTTGTAAAATGGAAGGCGGAATCATATCTCAAGACATTTTGCATATACGGTAATAACATTAAATTGTGTTATTTAAATCACTGTGAATTTTTTTTTAATTTTTTTAGCATTAGTTTAAATTTTAATTCGTATATTATTTATTTAATTAGGTGTATTTCATCTATTGTTTTTGTATATATATGACTCTTAATCTTTCAAGCTCTCGAACTCTCAACATGAGGCATTTCAGCTATTGTTTACTATGACAGATAATTTCGGGAAGATAAACTTGACGTTATCTTTGCATAAAATCATTCTATCAGAATATCCTTCAAGAGAAACATCACTCTTGAGGAGCTTATTACTAAAATTTCAATGAATGTTCATGTTGGACGTACTAGAAGATTGTACTCACTTCAATATAGATTTCCAACTGCACTATTTTCGTTAACTTATACAGCGTTCAAACTCTCCAATGATGATAATGTTGCTATGATGGTTGATGCTCATAATCAAAATTCAGACGCTAATACAAAAATGTATGCCACATTTGTTGAATTATCTGCGGTTCGTGATACGTCATCATGCTCCCACTATGGGCTGGCTCAACATGCTGATCAAGTTTACAACCAAACTCAAGTAATGTGTAATGATTTTAACTCGTTAATGGAAAATCCACATCCTAGTACCATCCCATCAAGTTCAATGGGGAGACATTCATCATCAACTTGTTACGATCTCTACCGAAATGGCTCTACGAACAATCCGTATGGCATTATTGCATCCAGTTCAAGGAGAAGACATTCAACTGCCAATTTCTTTGACCTGAATATGGAGATTCCCTCGATACAACAATCTATTCAGTACCTATTTGACATTATGCCTTCAAGTTTCGTGGGAGGCATTCAATTGTGAGCTTCTTCGACCTCAATGTGGAGATGCATGTGACACAACATTCAGTTCAAACCCCGTATAACACGATGTCTTCAAGTTCAAGGGGAAGGCATTAAAAACATATGATATATTCGTTAATGTATGATACAATCTTATATTATTATATTATTAAAAATAATATCATTAATAAAATAATGCCATTAATTACAAAAATGGTTGTTGAGGGTGATTTCAGAGCCCACTATCTTGTGGATCCTCGAATAGCATTAGTTTTATACTTCATCGTGACGTATATGGTATGGAGTTAAGATCTCTTAGTGGGGTTGTGAGCCTGGATATCTAAGGTTTTGTAATTTTGCTTTGGTTTCTTTGAAAATTATATATGTACTCTTTTCCTCCAAGTAAGTTAAAGAAGTTTTTAACGAGACACGTATTGTCATGCCCCAATTTTTTAGTTTTTAATTTAAACTTATTTAGTCAATTTTTAGGGGCTAATTCGTGAGTTTTCGAAGTTTTAATCTAAATTTTGAGTTTATTTGAGAGTTCAGGGACTTACCATTGAATTAGACCATTGTTGGCCATAAAAAGAAGAAAAATGTGAGAAATTTAGAAATGTGTGGCTGAGGGGAATCAAACCCAGTCTTTAGAAATAGGGAGCCATGCCCTAGCCTAGTTTCGTGTTGTAGATCATAAAAAAGAACAATAATAATTTCGAAGTTTTAATCTAAATTTTGAGTTATTTGAGAGTTCAGGACTTACCATTGATTAGACCATTGTTGGCCTAAAAGAAGAAAAATGTGAGAAATTTAGAAATGTGTGGCTGAGGGGAATCAAACCCAGTCTTTAGAAATAGGGAGCCATGCCCTAGCCTAGTTTCGTGTTGTAGATCATAAAAAAGAACAATAATAATAAATCGATCGGTTGATTGGGATTTAAATCCCTAAAATTTATCCTCAATTTGATTCGAATTGAAACCCAAACTAAATTCTTCAAAGCAAAGCACCGCCACTTCATCGTTCATCCACCTTCAGTCGGCGGTGGTGTTCACCGCAATCACCAATAGCTCCGGTGACATCTCACGACCTTAACCCTAACCGTTTTTTACCCATATCGGACGCTGATCATCAAGAATCGTAAGAAATGGTTCAAAGTCCTTAACATCGATTGCAACCATCGTTCGTTGGTGAGTGACACCAACTTCACCGAATAAAGTGTTGTTCCCATCAGTCACTCGCTGTGACTCGCCGTCGAACGTTGTGGAGAGCACCGCAAAAGCTTCGTCGAAAAACTTAGAACCTTAACGTTGTTTTTACGATTTTGGCCAAATCTGTCATCCATCTACTTCACATCCTGTGTCATTGGATTTACCGGAGAGTTCCAGAATAACCCAACTGGGTTCATCGCTCTATCGTCCTGTCTTCGTCGTCCGCCACTAGGGTAAGCTTATGATTCAATATTCAGTTATTTCATGGTGTTTTGGGTTTGATTTCTGAATTGTTATTGGTTAGATTGGTGACAAATTAAACGGGGAGTAATCGGTCGTTCGAATCGACCCTATCACTGTTGTCACGTATCACCGTCACGTATAGGGTTTCTCGATAAGCAAGGAATTTTCTAGAATCGGTCCAGTTGGATAGTATCAGACTGAACCGACCTATTTAGGCCGGATCGGTTTGAGCATGAATCAGCCCACTGAGTCAACTCGCACTGAGTCAACTCAACAAATATGACCCGTTGGCTTTGACTGTTTGTTGACCTGACCAGGATTGACTTTGATCAAAAAGTTAATTTTTTAAATGCCTATTCTATGTTTTTCGACGTCCTAAGTTCGAATCTAAAGTTCGTTTCGCCAATTTCAAACCATGTAAGCTATTTTCAACATTTTAACTCTCAATTCGATTCAACTTTCACATCTAAATTGCGTTTCTAACGTAATTTGTTTTTCCACGTACCTAAGATATTATAGGATGTAGAAATCAAGTGTGAGGGTGATCAAATAGAGATTAATTGGTTGATCGATGTGACACGACAATCGAGGTAATATAATACTACTTTTGTATATTTTTTGGTACATGTTGATATTGGTTGTTGTATGAATGATCATTATTGGCCGATTAGGTATAATTAATTATTTATGGGCTCGAACTGAATTCCGTAAAAAGTTAGTAAAATGAAGAAATGACAGATAACTAGCATAAGAAGTTGAAAGACCGGTAGAAAATAATTTCAAGTCCCGTGATTAATTAGTAAATCTGTTGACCTCAGGATCCATAAAAATATTGATTATTTCCGATATGGGTTAAGCGCCGAAAATAATTGGATGATAAAATTACAAAAATTACCTTATATGAAAAATTTACGAAAATACTCTTATGTTGTAAAAAGACCAAGATTTCCCTGAAAGTGGAAAGTAACCCTAAAGAGACATGCTCAATCTAAATTAAACTATTGTGCACTGTTAAATGCTTGTTTTGTTTAGAAAACATCTGATATCCAATTTTAACTTCTAAGATGACAAAAGGCTTAAGATTATGATTATTGAATAAACTCCTGGAGATTAATATATTTGAAGTAATGCAAATAACAAAAACAATGAAATGAAAGAAATATCCTTAAAGTGTAAAAGGGACTGTGAATGAATGTGATAGGGAAAACGACCTGGGAAATTCATATTTTAATCCGTTTGAACCTATGAATCATTGCATAAAGTCCTGATCTGCATGAAAATCACTGAAAATCAGCTTCTACCTTTGGAATTCATAGTACGTTGATCTCCTATTTTTAGAATGATCACTTGAAGACTATATTAATGGAAGTATGACATGTCACTGAAGTATTTACAATGACTAGGTTATCCTATATTTTTAAAATGACCAAATCACCCTTAAACCCAAAAATAACTATAATAGCATGAACTCTAAAATTATTAGAATAACCCCAAGTATTGGAAATGACCCAAATACCCTCATGATCTGATTCAAGGATATATTTGTATATAAATTTTGAAAGTACCATTGAAGTATTAAATAATGTAACAAACCCTAAAGGTTATGGAGATTACCCAAGGATGTCGGTCATTCTTGATACTATTACAATACATAAATAAATTAAATATCATCGAAATACTTGTTCGCCTTATGAAGATTTGTTGAATGTTAATTCTGTAGAACACCCGTTCAACTAATGCAGTCAGTATTAAGAAACATATATTTGTGAAGTATTTTGGCCCGAATGATTTGCAAGTATCGTAGTATTGGAATCTGATAGTTCGATTGGACATGAAAATCTGATAATTTGATATAAATCACCAAATACTACAAACCATTGCTTAACCCTTATTGGGTTATATTTCTAAGAATTATTCAGGAATTGTAATGATTAAAATGCCCTTGATGGTCTGAGTAATGAAATCACTCGTGTTATGTTCAAATCTTAAATAATTCTAATGAAATGTTGCTAAATACATTCCTAATGCACCCGATTCCAAAAAGGTCATGAAGTATCAATTTCTGAATGTTTGTTTTGATCTGCTAATAGTCGAACCCATTTAATAGGGATATTGTTTTTGAAATCCTATTAATATACATTAGCTTCTTGGTAACTACCAATGCCTCCGGAAAGATCTCTGAATCCTCTAGTGTGTTCCCTGTGCACATAAATATTTTTCTTTGGTTTTAAAAGTATGATTATGATATTTGAAATAAAAACATGGTTTCTGAATACTGGATATATATGGCTCTTGATTTATATCGGGTACTATTTGGGATCTGTTACAAAGTTCTACATGATCAGTCTCGATCAGGCTGGTAAATCCTTACGGACCTAAGGCGGCCCTTAAGTAGGCTCTTAGGCTCAATGGACCTAGTGGTAATACCTTATGGACCTTATGGCACTCCCATAGAGTGACTCATTTTCTTTGTGTTTAGGGTAAGTCCTTATGAACCTGGGGGCACTCCTCTCAAGGTGCCTCTTACGCTTCAACTAGGGTAAGTCCTTATGAACCCAAGGAACTCCCTTAGGTTGGCACCAACGCCCTTGTGTTAGGGTAAGTATTTATGGATGTAGTTATGGGGAACCGCATATGAAGTGTTTGGGAGCAAGATACTACTGTGATTTTAAAACATGTTTTACTAAAATAAACTACTACAACTAATGTTTTTAAACTATGATTACATTTTTCTGGTTTTGAGGGAACACTCTAGACGTTTGTTTCAATCTCCTAAATCTGGTTTTTTTAATGTTTCCTCTGAGCTATAAACTACACGTATGTTATCTAAAGAAATAATTATGAAACCTCATCTCATCATTATGATCTGAATATGCTTGGATAAATAAAGAAAACTTCATGTTGCACCATATATTTGTTTGTCCTTTAGCATCTTCTAATAGTTCTGCATTACTGAGCTTTCTTAAAGCTCATTCTGTTACTCACCATTTCAGGTTTTAAGGAGTTGATTTTGTGATGTATCAACATCAGTATGGGAGTTCTTTCGACATTGATTGCGGAGTACGATATTATTGTAATTAGGGTGTTGAGTTAATCGATCGATAGAATTGGCCAAGAGGGGGCTGAATTGGCAATTAAAATTTTGGTGGAAGCTTTTGCAAAAAATTGAAAAGATTTGCATAACGATTTAGAGTGGTTCGACTTTCTCAACCAAAGTCTACGGCCACTACCTTAGCTATCCACACTAAGGATTTTCTAACAAATTCACTAATTTGTTCTTTCTTTTGAGGCCAAAGAGATAACCTTACAACTCCCTCATGAATATACCCCAATTCTTGAGAACACTCTTTCTCAAAGAGAATATTACAAATTTGCAAACTTACAAGGAAATCCTCTCACAAGGTAGATTGTTTGCACAATTCTAGAACAAAGAAAAGAACACTAAAAAATGAATACAATTGAGTACAAGTAGTGTTTTTGAAAGCAAAATGAATATTGAATGAAAAATAGGCTTGAAATGCTCAAACTTGAGGTTTGATGCTTTCTCTTTGATTATCTCTTGATTCTTGTTTATTGTGTTTTCTTGTTTTTGATCAATGGCTTTCAAGCTTGTTTAAATACACCTTCAAATGATTCTGAACGTTGGGGATGATTAGTGGAGTCAATAGAGTCGTTTAAGTGTGAAAACAATTAATTAAATCAGTTGGGAGTGTCAGTGCATCGATGCATACCCAAGGTGCATTGGTACATCAAGTGTAAAATTCAAATATTTTGACAGTTGGATCCTTAGTGCATCGATGCATGAAATGCATTCGATGTTTCAAAATAGCCAGAGTGCATCGATGCATGGCTGGTGCATCGATGCATCAAATTAATTCGATGTTTTCATAAAACTCTGAGTGCATCGATGCATAGTATGTGCATCGATGCATGAAATGCATTCGATGTTCAATTTATTCCATGGTGCATCGATGCATGGATTGGTGCATTGGTTCATCACTTTGAAAAATTGATTTTAGTATTGATTTTGGTTCAAAATACTTTGTGAAAATTATTTCAAAAATATATTAAGTATAAAACACAATTTTACACATTTAGTAAGGTTTGAAATTGATCTTGAAGACTTGGAGTAATAATTTGATATCCGAGTAATTAAATCGAATACACTTCTCCCCTTTAAAACATTTTAACACTTTAACATTTCTCCCACTTTTTGTTAAATAAAAAAGTCTTAAAAATCGATTTAGACAAGGTTTTGAAAAACATAGCTAATTGATATATATATATATATAGCTTAAGCTGCTAAGATCAAAGATCAAAAGAGAGATTAGCCATTAGTTTCATAATCAATATTCATAATCAACTGTGAAATGGCATAATTGGTCATAATGAACTAATATGATGCAAAAATTAAGAAAATTCAACCAAACCAAATATATATATATTAAGTTCAAACAACCAAGCATCCAAATCATAACTCCTAACAAATTCAAACATTTAAGGATCCAAAATAAACAATCTAGAAACTTCAAAATCAATCAAAATTTTAGAAAACCAAGAAAGCATAACAAGGAAACAAATCTACTCCATCGGAGGATCGAGAGGATGAGGATAATGAGCTTGAACTTCAAGAGTGAGAGCGTCTATTCGTTCACGCATCTCCCGCTGAAACTCAGTAATCTGAGCTCCATGGAGGCAAACCTCATATCAAAAGACTCTAAGAAAGATCGAAAATATGGTGGCGTTTGATCTTCTTAACGTGCTGGTTCCGGTGCAAGCTCATCGTCTGGTACATGATCGTCGATATCTTGCACGAGCTGCTGAAATTCTGGATCATCGTTAACAGCCAGAGGAGGAGGAGGAGGAGCACGAGAAGAGCTAGGAGGAGCTCGTGAAGAACTCGCTCCCTGAGTTTGCTTACCGGGTCGAAAGACCCAAAGACCGATTACCTCGTCTTGTTTCCAATCGGCTTTCTTCAACGAGATGAGATATTGGGTTTTGGAGAGGAATAGGATTGTCAAGAGAGATATTTAGACCGAGTTTGATAAAAATGTTACTAAGAAGACCTCCATAAACTAATGTTTCGACATGTTTTGAAGTAACAATGTTTATGATATCTACTAGTTGACTAAAAATAATGCGGGGCAGATTTATTTTGTTTTTATTCTTGAGACAGTGCATGCACCATAAATCCCTAGCACGAAGAGTTGAGTACCTACCTCCGGATGGTCTAAACCACCAAGAGATCATCAAATGAAGAAAACGATCGTGATGAGAACATAGAGTACTAACACTAGCGTTTGGAACATAGGGATAATCCATATTTTCATTCTCATTAAATAAACATTCGTCATCTAACCCAAAACGGAAAACTATAGTCTCAGGTCAAATTAATATATGGCCTAAAAGATATGATCTAATTGCTATAGTCCCACATTGAGTTTGGTTTTGAATGCATACCGCATTGGAGTAGAAAATGCGGACTAACTGATGATAGACGATAGGTTTGACGTGAAACATTTTATTAAACTTCCAAGTTTTAAGAATCGGAAGGTATTCGAAGTCAATATCTATCATGGCTTGAAGAGAA